TATATATATATACAATATATGTATATACATTAACTTTATACAAAGCTTTATACAAATAGACAAGAAGCATTTCATTATAGTAAAATAATCAAATTATTGAACTTTTAACATTCAAATTTTGATACGCAAAGGAAGATAAAAAATTATCTTATATTAGCTTAAAATTTTTTAGTTTTAGGATGTAAAATACTTTTAAAATAGACCATATAAATATGTATAGCATGTATTTGATATAAAAATATCTAAAAAGATTATTAACACCTTTACATTTAATAAGTTAAATTTTAAAAATATCGAGAATGGCACATATTTAGTAAATTAATAGTTTTAACATAGGTTATTGATATCAGCCTTTGTATCTGGACTCAATGAGCTCCAATAAGTATTAATACACTTTTGTAACTTTAATTCAGTATCATTAACATTACATATTTTATCAATTTCGTAATGTTTCTGTACTAATTTGTCTATCCATTGATCCAAGTTAGAATTAATCTTAATTTCATTATCTGTCATATGTGTAGTTCGTTCGTAAAAATTTACTGAATTTAATAAATGTGACCACTTTTTGTTTATTTCTTCAGTAATATGATAACTGTCAACAGATGCATTATTTACTTCCTTAGCTTTCTCTGGATCAATTTTCTTATTTTTCCAATATGCTAAAGGGGTCACCAAAAAATTCATTTTTGCCACTAATAAAGAATCAGCAACTAAGAATAGATGCCAAGTACCCACAACTAGATGTTCATTGAATTGCGGTTTAACATACCCTGTCTGAAAACAGGAAAAATATTAGGAAAAATATTATCTATAGTATATTAAATATAAAACAATCAATTAAGAAACTCTTATATTTACTAATGTCATTTCTTCAAGCTGTATATAATTAACTTCCGCTAATCGACCATAAGGGTCCACCCATAATATTGACAGATTTTGTGGCGTTGTAATTCCAATATCAAATTCATATGATAAAACTGGATATGAATATGGTCCTATACTTCCTATTAAATTTCTAAATGTTTTTTCTTTTTGATCATAATCGGTATTAACACATAAACTTTGTATCTTTCCTAACCATTCTCTACTAGTAGAAAAGTTATGTCTTGGATAGACCAAAGACTCTATTCGTTTTTGTTGAACAGTTTGTTGTTGTAACGTAACTTCAGCAAGAATCAATATTCCAACAAATTGATTTTGTTTAAAATAGGCAGTTGTTTCCAAAAGACGGACATCTTTGTAATTTACATTTAGTTTATGAAAAATCAACCTTGCTAAGGAATTTGAAACAGTCAATTGTGCATCATCAGTCAAAGGACTCAAATCTGCTGCATGATACAAACTTTGCCAGTAAGCATCATAACCTTTTGCGTTTATGGTTTTATTTAAATTTTCGGAGTACAGCCATTCTTCCACCCTGTCTATGATTCTTTGGTCAATAATAGATTCGAACTTTCGAGCAAAAAATAAATTGCGATCTATTGTATTACGAATTCTACTAAAGTCTTCAAGTTTAAAATCATTTGGGCTGCATCCACACCAATCAACCACAGCTTTATACTGACATTTACATCCTAATTTCCTCTTCCAATTAGTAACATGTAGATTATTATCTATATAAGTATTGCAAAATTTTGAGTTACGTAAAACTGTATGAAAAAATGATTCGGCAGGCAATAAAGTATATTTAAATACTTTTAAGAGATCAGTTACTAATGTATCTGGATTTGGATTAGCAACATATTCTACAAAATCTCGGCTTAAAGCTACCCAGTCACTACCACCATCTATTTGAATACCTACAAAAAACAATCTTTTCGTAATAAATTGCAAATAGTATGAAATACAAATAAAAAAAGAAAGTACATTTACCATCTGGTAATTTACGATCGCCTATTCTCCACATGCGAGTTTCGCATTCCACAAAAGTTTTGTCCAAACCTTGTTTGGTGATGAAACGTTGAACTTCTCTTCCATGAGATTTTACAAAATTCATACCTTTATTCAAGCTAAGGAATTGAGTTAATTGCACATTATTTTTTATAGGAAAATCAGATTCTGACAGATTTACAAGAAAATCCCAATGATGATGGTGTGCAAGCATTTGCTGTGCAGATTTTAAAAGAGTTGTTAAAAGACTTGCACCTCCCCAAATACTTGCATGTCTTAAATTTTCTCCTCTTGCCACCTTAATATTATTAGTTTTGCAAGACTTTTCCACTTCTAACATTTCTCGATAAAGATAATCTTGTCGCTGAAAATGTAAAAGACATAGATTACATGTTTTTCTATCATATTAATAATATTAACGACTTCACGATGGCATAATATGTATAGAAAAATAAAAAATTTATTTAATTACCGCATCAACATGAATATAAAATAAATGTGAAGGATGGTAAAGAATATTGATAAGTCGTTTTACTTGTCGACTGGCTCTGCCATTTACTGTTAATAGATATGCTATCCGAACAGGCTTTTCATTTTCACCATCTATGCTCGTATTTCGAGCTTCTTGTGCTTTAAATTCTATCAAATAAAAGATAAAATTTATTATAAATTTGCATTATTAAAACCAATAATAAATGTACATATTACATAAATGTTTTAATTTTTTACTTCCTTACTCTGAATTCCAGTCCAAAACACATTAATCGTTAAATATCCACCACAAGAATATTTTGGATTACCAGAACACTTCATGTTACAGCTAGAATCTGGTAATCGTTTAAGCTGAGATGGTTTCTCCATTCCACAAAAGCATTCGACACTAAAAATAAATATACATGATGTTTGATTTAACTTTTAATTTAACTTCTTAAATATGTGAAATACTTACGAGTATTCGGTACCAGCATACAAATATCCTGATTGGAGACATAAGAAAGCACAACGTTCTGGTGAATTGTTCCCTTTAAAAACATGATAATAGCCAGAAAGAATTCTTAATGTTTTATCATCTTTAAAACACCCTAAGCTGACTGGTTTGTCTATAAATCCTGGAGAATGAGGGCATAGAGACTGTATTCTTTCTGGATATAATAATCCCTGTTGATTAAGGCACGTCACATTGACAATGCGTTGTTTGCATACTTGACTTTGTGCACGTGTTACAGCACTCACTGCTTCTCTGCCAGTAAATTCACAAGATGGTGTAAAATTTAATGATTTACGATCTAGTTTTATTCTAGTAGTACGGTTTCGCTGAAATTGTAAAATTTTATTTGAATTACTAGTTTTGTCAGGTGGAAGCTTCAATTGACGTAAACCTTTTGGTAAATCTTCATCTTCTGTAAGCTGAGATTCCTACACAGAAAGAAGTAAATTTTTATTAATGTTAGTGATAGTAATAAAAGCAATATGCGATGTCTACATTACATATAATAAAAAAAAACCATAAGTTGAAACTTACTTCTCCTGAAGACAACCGACTAAATCTTCGACTTCGGATCTCCAGACCGAAAAATATATGAGCTAAATAAATTTGTACGCATAGTACAGTAATACCAAATAAAAATAATATTCGATATTTTCGTAAACAACTAGAGGATCGACTTATTGAATGATTCTTTGTCATAACCATTTCTTATTATTCTAATTTATGTCTTTTATGAATCCTTTGAGTTTCGTAGAATTTTATAACTTTCATAACCCAATGTAGCGGGTAATCTTTTGTAAGACACAAGGAACATGTTTCACTCGTATATTCGGTATTATATATAATATTATATCTACTACATTACATCTTTTGTATATATATTTATATATATGTACAAAATATATACAAACACATTCAGATAATTTAGGCAGTCATAAATTACCATAGGACAATAATAAAGTGTAAAATGTACATATAGTATTTCAATATAAATATTCATTTACATCGTTAACATACGTTCAAGTTGATTCCGTTTTAAATTCCTAATTAAACGAGGAAATGTAAGCAAAAAAGTCTCAAAAAGAAATTATAACCGAGGCAATGTTATTTCAAGCGATATTATTTATTCCCATAAAATAACAAAATATTATAAATATTACATAGATAACTTCATGGCAATCTACGTTTAGTTATCACAGTATTGCCACCATAGTCGATATTCTATTATTTTCAAGAAATTTCTAGTTGAGATAACAAACGAATAAGATATATTTTTATAAATATATTTATAATTTCTTTAGAAAAATAGAGTCATTGATGATCTTAAAGTATGTATTGTATACTATACATGTTTCCGTTTCTCTATAAATATCCTGGCTTTTATCTATGTGACTTGAGAATATTTGTTATTCATATTGAATTATTTATTTATTATTTAAGCAAAAAACACTCATTTGATTGTTTGTAAATTAGATTAATTTTTGCAATTAATAAGTAATAACTTACCAGAATAGTTCTTCAAATAGATTTTTATTAACTTTAGTTCATGGAATCTATTTAAGTAAAGATCATTATCATAATATAGGAATAACATTAATTTTAAAAAAAATATAACAGATTTAAAACGAAATTATTGTTTGCATTCTGCATAAATATAATAAGTATAAATATAAAAATAATAAGTGTTAATAATATTATCAAATTATTTCTTGAAACATTTTGTCAAACACATGTCATTGTACGAAAGATTACGTTTCTTTTCTGTGATAATATGTTTTATGCAGAAATATTATAAAAATATTGCAGAAGTATAATAAGAACAGAATAATAAGAAATTTATTTAAATTTGTTTAAATTTATTTATTCGAAAAAAGGAGAAATTAAAGAAGATGGTATTCGATATTATAAAAAGCAAGGAATTATTGACGTTATGAATTTGAAGATTTATAAATTTGAATCCTAATCCTAAATTCTGAAAATTTTTCATTCTTCTACGATTAGATAAGCATAAAGAATATTATGAACATTTTATAAAATTATATATTTATAAAATATTATATTTAATTTGAATTGTATTTAATTATTATTTGTTAAATGAAAAAATAATATGATTTATTTTGATAATGATTTATTATAAAGTAAAAGTGTTGATAATTAATAAAGATATCTATGAAATTTATATTTTTTAAAAGATTTTCGTACATGCGTATATTACATTTCGAATTTTAAAATGATGATGAAATCGTTCGTTAGATTTAGAAAAGATACTTTATGTTATCTTTTTATAAGATAACATAAAATAAATGATACATTAGATTAATAATTAATAATTAATTCAAAGAATCATGTTACGATCATATTTTTAAGATAGTACTCAATCTTATATGTGGAAATCAAGGGTGAAAGAGAGAAATAGATTGAGAGAAAGAAGAAGACAATAAGAGAAGCGAGAGAGAGAAAGAGAGACAAAAATAGTGAATTATAGAGAGGGGGACAAAATGTCTGCGGATTTCGATATGTTTACTAGCAAACGTTTACATGCAACGTGACATGCTTGACATCATTAAAGAAATGACTAATGAAATGGTAGAAAAGTTGTGGCGTGATGGCCGTATCTTTTAATCGGTATCTTATTTTACCGGAAATTGAGAAAAGTGACTTCAAAGTATCTCAAGAAAATAAACATAAATACACGGATGAAAATATTACAAGAAATTCGTCTAACGAGCAAAAGACCTCCGTGATACCTGCAACTGTACCTTTATGTGTCTTGAGTGATGTCCAGTTACGATTCTTGTGCCCAGATGATTTGGAGGAAGTACGAGCACTTTGCCAAGATTGGTTTCCCATTGGTACGGAATATTAATTTTAAATTAAACCCCCAACAAACAACACTTCGTATAAAGAATAATTTACAATTGCTTTTCATATGTAATTAATCCTTTCTGGTTTATATTTAAAGTAAATTTAGTTTAAAATATAGTGTTTCTGCATTATTTTGGCCCTTTGGGTGCTGTCTTAATTTAATCATAACATTCTAATTTCAGCTAAATATTATATCAAATATGCAAATAAATATTTCAAGGATTACTCTTTGAAAGAGATTAATTTTTCAATTAAAAAGAAAAAGTAGACATCTTTAATAGATTTTAGATTATTTTAAAAATAAAAATGTTTTTTACATTTAGATATGAGTTATTAAGTTTTTTGTGTTAACTTTTTATGTCAATGATTAAGTTATTTATTCTTTTAGTATGTCAATATGTTGTGTATATTTTATATTTTTTTATATAATTAGAAACAGTAAATAAATCTACTACGCACATAGAATTAATTAGAATTATGTAGAATATACATTTTATAAGATGATGCAAAAAATATATAAAAAAGTTTAAAGGTTATATTATAATTTTTCTTTTTATACTTTTATGTTTTTAATAACGAAAATATAATTTAAAATGTAAGTTTCTCAGTATATTATATATTAATATGGTGATAATAATGTTTTTCACAAATTTTTCATATATTTTTTTTTAAGATTTCGTATTTCAAATATTATATTTAATCATATACAATGAAATTACTTCTAACATCAGTATTAAATCATATGTTTGATTTAATTAAAATTACTTTTTGTTTGATCTTCATAATTAAGTACTTTAAAATTTTTTAATAAATATAGCTTAAGTATAATATCAAATTACTTACAATAGGAAAACAATTCAAACAGTGAAGTATCTTTTTAAATTATAATGTCTAATATAGTCAAAAATATTTATTTTTAATGTAAATGTAATTTATCTAATCTTTAAAAAAATGATACTTTATCTAGTCTTTTGTTTATATTTTTCTTCTAAACAAATAAATTTGTTATTAGATCATCTAATTAATTTGCTTTTGTTTAATTTCTGTATTACGTACATTTTTAATAAATATCTATGATATATATCTTAATGTTATGTTCTATTATTGTTATTATTATATCTATAACGATGACATTAAATAGTTTTGTATTATGAAACATGGTTTTGCATGTATATTTTTTATAATTTTTTTCAACTTGTATACGATATACGTAATAACTTATATAAATAATAATATTTCTTGATTGTTATTGTGTTTTATCAGTATATATTTAATAAGCAAATATTTGTTTATAAATTAAATCTAATAGTTTGATAATTTCTATTTATTAATAAGTTTTATCTGTTTTATCTGTTTTATTTTCATATAGCTAAAATGAAATTGGTAGCTAGTATTAATTAAAAAGAAAGCTCGAGTATAAATTAATAATGTAACTTTTTATGTCCATTTAATTATAATGTGTATTTGATAATTATTACATAAATTTAAGTATCATATTTTATTTATTTTCTAGTAAAATATGATATAACATATTTATGACAAAATATGATGTATTTTAGAGTAGTTTATTTTAAGTGCAATAAAAATTATTCTATACTACATATACATATATCTTTGAACTAGAATAAGGCCATAAAGGATTAATTAATAAATAAATTATTGATATAAATTATTTTGTCAAATAGTGAAAGATTTATAAATTTAATATAATTATGCATGTTGTTATAAGTTAGTTCTATGAATTATTCATTTTGTATTAAAAATCACATTAATACTTATATTAAAGTATTAATTTGTTTTGTCATAGATTATCCTTATTCGTGGTATGAAGATATAACAAGTTCCTCACGGTTTTATGCACTTGCAGCTGTATATGGTGGAGTAATAATTGGACTCATTGTCGCAGAAATAAAGCCTTATGCTAAATTGAACACAGAAGATCGTGGTATTTTGTGTTCAAGTTTAGGAAATGATTGTTTAGTGGGTTATATTCTTAGTTTAGGTGTCCGTCGTGCATATAGAAGAAATGGAATTGCATCATTATTATTGGAACAATTATTAGCACATGTCACTGCTCCAGAACGTTCTTCCGTAAAAGCAGTCTTCCTGCATGTATTATCCAGCAATGCACCAGCTATATTGTTCTATCAGAGATGTCACTTTCGATTACATAGTTTTTTACCCTATTATTATGTAATTCATGGCAAATGCAAAGATGGTTTTACTTATGTCCTCTATGTCAATGGGGGACATGCACCACGAGGTATTCGCGATTGGTTGCGTCATATAGCTAGTGCAATGGCTAGTCTTGGACCATGCAGAATACCACGTTGGATTTGGCAACGGCTTCTTTGGGTTACTACTATTCTTTCATATCATAGATGATACTTTTTGACAAATACCAATGTTAAACCAAATATTTGTTTTTCTTTTATTTTAAAAAAAATACATATAGCATAGAGTCTGCTAATTTGGATGTTGTGCCTACATAAATTTATTAGTAATTATTTCCATAATTTTATATAAAATTATTATAAAAACTGATTTACTGCTAAAATGACAATACTTAAATCAACAAGTATAAATTTTTATTTAGTCAGAAGTAATATAATTACTCTGTCAGAAAATTTTGTAATTCTTTCACCATGGATTATATTATTAAATGATTTGATAATTTAAGATTTAAAATAAATGACATAAATATTAAGAATAAAGCATTTAACTGCCAGAGCATTTGATCGGTTCAAAATATTTATACTTAAATATCTTTTTAAATATAATATGCATGTTAAGAAGATTTGTATTTTGTTGAATATATCATATTCATAAAACATTTAAAAACAGGACTCATGCAGAATAAAGTAAATTCATTAGTGACAGGATAAAACTGAGAAATTTCAAAAACATTACTTGTTATTTTTCCTATAGTTTATTATAATTGACTGAATATTTTCATATGCATTATCATTATTGTTGACTGTTATGTATAATTTGCTATTTCCAGTTTTATCATCAGTTGTTTTCTTAATTTTCAAATTCTCCCATAAATATAAATCTAAATGTAATGTTAACTAAGTTCTTTCCAGCATACTAGTCATTCTTTTGTTTTTGAAAGATTTTATTTCATCTCAAAGACTTATATTCTTAATTTTGTTACAAGAGATTCGTTTCTGACTTATTATGTCACTTCTACATATTTTAGTGACATTGATAAATAAACCATTTTTCTTAACATCTTGATTTTCATTTATTGTATCTTTTGTTTAAAATTTTTCCTATATATCTATTTTATTTTTTATATTACTTTACTGTTTATTTAATTTTGGTAAACAAGTATTTTCTTAGTTTATGAAGTTAAAAATTATTTTATTTATTATTCATCAAATTACTTTGTCTTTATTAGAAAATAGCTTTCCCTAATAAAACTTTGGGGCCATACCTGTCACCAGTTTTAGTATCACAGAGGCCTGTTTAAATTCCTTAAACTCATTATTCAAATCTGAGAGTGCAATACTGATTATCATGATAGTTTATATAATCAATGCTGTCATTAATGACAGCATGTTAACTGATGTCACACTCAGCTTTTTTTAATATATATGAAAGAAAACATCATTTCCAATGCTTCAGTGAAGCATTCCATATAGATGATATTATTCTTTCAATACCTTTTAGAAATTATTTATCAATTACTCAAACGTGTTAGAGTTGATTACTTTTTAATGTTTTATGGTTAAGAATTAATTTGTTGAAAAATAAAACAAATGTTTTCTTAATAAACATTTTAATTCAAATTGGATTCTTATTGAAACAATTCGATATTTAGTATTTGTTCTTATAAAGGTTCACTTTAAAATTAAGTCTTGAATCATTAAAGTTGAAAATTATATATATAGTCTTATAAGAAGTCCATAATATCAAGATAATGAGGCAGATAAATTGTATTAATTGTTTTGATTATATTTTATTATACTTGTTTTTTTAATTTAAAAGCATTGAACATTGTAATTCAACGAGAATTTATATTTTCATAGTAAAAAAAAGAGATATAATAATATATAATCTTGTAATGTTTTTTTAATAAAACGATTGT